CCAGGAAGCAGTTTAGACTTTGACATAGTTAAACTTCAACACACCAAGAAGGGGGCCGGTGAGGTTAATAGTATGTGCTTGGTAACCATATCTCAAATTTTCCAACTGAGTGGAGGCCTACTAGTCCTAGACTGTATGACCAATGACCCAATAATCATTGACGTTAGACTTTAGCTTAAAATGACCTTCTTTCATAGACTGATAAGGCAGGGAGTGAGTGCTCCCATGAAGGTTGTACAGGGAATCCATGCGAAGTTTGATCCATGGTTTTGTCTCGAACCCGTCACCTGTTTAACAACCTCATGGCCAGCTTGGATTGGAGTGGAGACATACTGGGCATGTGTTTTCACACATTCCCTATGGAATACTCCCTTAGACATCTGCAGAAAAGGACAGTTCAGGGCAAAGCAAAAATATACACACGAAGCAAGACTTCGTACATATAGACCAACATCAGCAAAAGCAGTGCAAGCAGCGAGAAAAACAGTGTGGTAGGCAGCGTCCAAGGTGACATCGATGGGCCCTGCCTCCTTCCCCTTGCATGTGGGCTGGACACACAGATTCGTGAAGAGGTACTTCTGAGACGAGGTTACAAACAGACTGTAGCCCCGTATTGGATCTCCCTTTGAGAGGAGGCTCCTGCCACATTGGGGGCTTCCCTACAGGGAGGCCATGTGGGAAGGAACTGATGTCTTTGGCCAATAGCCAGTGAGAACAGAAGGCATGCCACAGGATAAGCTTGGGAGAGCATCCTCTCCTAGCTGAGCCTTGTTTATGACAGCCTCTTTGTGAGAGACCCTGAGCCTGAGGCACACAGCCAAACTGCACCCAGATTCCTGGCCCTCAGGAATTGTGAAATAATAAAAGCTTGTTGTTTGAAGCTGCTAAGTTCTATAGTGATTTTTTACACAGCAGTAGACAACTAATACAAGCAAGGGATGGCGCAAGTATTTATCAAATGACGTACCTTGCAAACAGAAAGTTTAATGATCTTATAAAAGACGTAGGTCTGATTGCCAGATGGTGCCACACCTCCACACCAAAAGGTCTGATTTCTTAAAACAAAGGACTAGGCCTAATGACATTATATGAAAACTTACTTCAGGGACACCTGGGTGGCTCAGTCATTGGGCATCTGCCTTCGGCTCAGGTCATGGTCCCAGGGTCCTGGGATCGAGCCCCGCATTGGGCTCCCTTCTCTGCGGAGAGCCTGCTTCTCCCTCTCTCACTCCCCCTGTTTGTGTTCTCTCTCTCACTGTCTCTCTCTGTCAAGTAAATAAATAAAATCTTTAAAAAAAAAAGAAAAAAGTGCACATATTTTAATTGAACAGTTTTTTTCATACATATATTCCCATGAAACCATTAGCAAAATCAGATAGTGAACATATCTGTTCACTCCCCAAAAGTGTCCCTTCTATTCTTCCCTGCTTTCCTCTACATTTCCCCATCCCCCAGCAATCACTGATCTGCTTTCTGTCATTAGAAATTAGTTCGCATTTTCTAGATTTATATAAATGGACTGGTATGTTCTCTGTTTTTCTGGCTTATTTCACTCAGCATAATTACTTTGGTATTTGTGTATATTATATGTATTTATAGTTTATTCATTTTTATAGTTGAACACTATTCCATTGTATGAATATATCACAGTTTGCTTATTCGTTCATCTGTGCATGGACATTTGGGTCGTATCCAGTTTTTGGCTATACTAAAAATGCTGCTACAAACATTTAAAAATTATTATTATTAAACATGAGATTTGTTAATGAATATGAAAAAGGTTTGAAGGGTCATGAAATGCTCATTACAATCCTGCCTCCTTTTTCTACTTAGAAAGATATGAGATAGGATTAGCTCAAACACATAAATGTATCAAACCTGAAGCTACTTGGAGAAAGATGTCATTTACAGTACAGTTTAAGGTTCTAGAGTAAACATGGCAGGTTGAATATATGCTGTCTCTCCTTCAAAACTCACTAAATTTATGGTAAAGAAAAAAATTAAGACATAACCCACAGGGAAAGAGAAGATGAGATGAGATGCCGTGTTTGGGAGCTAGTAACTGATGTAGATGACCAGAGAAAGCCCAGTCCTAAAAATGCCATGGGAAAAGCTAAGGCAAACTTGTATCTAGACTGAAGAATCCCCGAACAACTCAGCAACTGGGAGCATGAGATACCCCTGGCACTGAAGGTTATGGGTGGGAAGAGGAAGGGCTGAAATGAGGACTCCTGCAAAACTGAGTCAGTCAGTAGGAACCCCTGCCCACTCCTTCCCTTCCACTCCCCTTGCCATGGTCTCTATAGGGTCTGATATTCAGACTGGGTCTTGAATGCTGAGACTCCTGGCTTTCTTGCTCTGCTTGGCTCTGGAACTCTGGCAACCAGACCCTCACTTATCCAGGTAGGAAATTTAAAAAGTCTCTGAGAAATCTGACCAGCTCAAGAAAAAAGACTTAATAGATGGTTTATCTACCCCTGACATCAGGGTTCCCAGCAGACTGTCCAGCCAAGCCACTCCTAAAGTAGACATATCCTACTCACCAGCTCAGTATCCACTCCATGTTTTTTAAAAAATATATTTTTAAAAGATTTTATTTATTTATTTATTTATTTATTTATTTATTTATTAAAATATTTTATTTTATTTATTTGAGAGAAAGAGTGAGAGAGCACAAGAAGGGGTAGGGCCAGAGGGAGAAGCAGACTCCCCACCGAGCAGGGAGTCTGATGCGGGACTCAATTCCGGGACTCCGGGATCATGACCCGAGCCGAAGGCAGCCGCCCAACGAACTGAGCCACCCAGGCGCCCTAAAAGATTTTATTTATTTGACAGAGAGAGACAGTAAAAGAGGGAACATAAGCAGGGGGAGTGGGAGAGGGAGAAGCAGGCTTCCCTCGGAGCAGGGAGCCTGATGTGGGGTTCGATCCCAGGACCCTAAGATCATGTCCTGAGCAGAAGGCAGATGCTTAACGACTGAGCCACCCAGGTGCCCCTATTTATCTGAGAGAGAGAGCAAAAGAGAGAGAGGGCACCTGGGTGGCTCAGATGGTTAAGCGTCTGCCTTCGGCTCAGGTCATGATCCCTGGGTCCTGGGATCGAGTCCCGCATCGGGCTCCCTGCTCCGCGGGAAGCTTGCTTCTCCCTCTGCCTCTCTCTCTCTCTCTGTCTCTCATGAATAAATAAATAAATAAAATATTTTAAAAAAAGAGAGAGATCACAAGCAGGGGGGAGGGGTAGAGGGAGAAGCAGGCCGCCCGCTGAGCAGGGAGCCCAATACAGGACTAGATCCCAAGACCCTGGGATCATGACCTGAACCAAAGGCAGACACTTAACCGACTGAGCCATCCAGGTGCCCCATCCACTCCATTTTTTTGTTTGTTTTTGTTTTTGTTTCTTTCATTTGAGACCATATATTTTTCTCCCACATTTTTATTCTAGAGTCCATTTGCCTGAAGAGAGATGAATATACTTACTATGATTGTCAAGCATATCTCACTTAAACAAACCTTGAATTATAGAGAAAGCACCAAGTTCACTGTGTGGGACAAGTGAGGAACCTGGATGAGTGGCCAGTGTGTTTCTCCTTTAATAGCTCTAACAACTGTCAAATGGTTTAGACAGTGCTGGATTTTGTGCTTAAAAAAACCAAAAGGACACACTGATTAAATATCATTTCCTGCACAAATAGCTTTTAATTACTTCTCAATAAGAAGACATTCTAGGGCATCTGCTCTTCTCCACTCAACCCAGGTCTGGCTTCCTTTGGCTTCTGCTGGCAGAGGCTGAGCACCGTTCCCTCCACAGCTGAGCACCATTCCCTCCGGTATGTGGACACCGGAGGAGGGAAGTGAATTGAGAATTTAGTTCCCTCCTTGGAGCCGGCCCTGGGCTAGGCTCTTTCAGAGATCGCTTGCCTTTGATTTCTCCAAGAATGTGGCGTGGTCAGGGTTACCCTGGCTAGTGCATGGCATTCTCACAGTCCAGGCTTCGGGCCCATTGGGGCAGAGTCCCGCCCCGCTGCGGTCTGGCTCTCCGAGCCTCGGTTTTGGCCTGGGAGCCTGGCTATGAAGAAAGGACGTGCGAAGGAGGCCCCAGCTCCGCGCTCAGCGGCGGGCACGCAGGGGTGACAGGTTTCTGGACTCAGCCTCTCCTCCACAAGCTTCCATGCACCAGCCGGGGGGCCACCGGTCCCACTCAGTCATGATTTATGTAGTGGTAGGGTCAAAGCCAGATACTTTCCTTACACTTAAAAAAAAAGTTATTTCATCTGTTCAGTTAGTCATGTATGTGTGTAATCTCAACACCCAACCTGGGACTTGAACTCACTTCCCGGAGACCGAGTCGCATGCTGCTCTGACGGAGCCAGCCAGGAGCCCCAAAACTTTCCTTACAGTTTAATACATTCTAAGAAAAAAGACCTATTCGGGCGCCTGGGTGGCTCAGATGGTTAAGCGTCTGCCTTCGGCTCAGGTCATGATCTCGGGGTCCTGGGATCGAGTCCCGCATCGGGCTCCCTGCTCCTTGGGAGCCTGCTTCTCCCTCTGCCTTTCTCTCTCGCTCTGTCTCTCATGAATTAAAGAAAAAAAAGAAAAAAAACCTATTCACTGCAGAGGTGGTTCTTGGGCTGGTCGACTCCACTTCACGGGGCCTCGAACTTCCCGGAATGGTACCCGAACGTTGGTAGCAAGGGCCCACATGCATTTTGCGTGAAGGGCCTTGGTTAGGTAGTCAGGAGGGTTCTGATCCAAAAATGCTGAGGAACCCAAGCGGTAGACCATGCCTATTACCTCTTGGCAGGACGAGACCCGGGCTTCCAGCTGCATTTTAATCCCAATCCTCAGTGGGTGGTGCAAGACGACTCCACCCCCTCGGGTCGTCTACAGCTCTTGGCAACGCCCCTTTAGGGCGGGGCTGAAGTCGACCGCGCCCTCCAAGCCGCCCGTACACTGCCCCGGGCGGGGCATCTCTACTGGGCATGCTCAGTACTAAGGTCTTGAGTAGGTCTCCTAGGCGGAAACCAGAGCCGAGTGTGTGTTTTTCCCAGGGTGTCCCGCGCTGCTGTCATGGCCGCGTCCAAGTGACGATGTCTGCACATGGACTTCCAGGTCTGTGGGTGGTATTCACAGGATCTGTTGCCTCTAGGTTTCGGCATCTTTGGACCCTCTTTCTTTCACTTTCTTTTGTTGACTCCGTGTGACCCTCGGAGAACCCCTTTTGGCTGCAGCGATGTCCAGGGTGCTGTGGATACCGGAGCTGGCAGTTTTGAGGGGCTTCCCCACTGAGGCTGAGCGGCAGCAATGGAAGCAGGAGGGAGTCGCCGGTTCAGGTGAGAAAGGCGAGCCTTCCAGGAACGGAGGCCAGCGTGTGGACTGTGAGCGGAGAGTGGTGCCGGCTGGGTTCTCACTCCTCCTTGTTTGTTTGTTTGTTTTTTCTGCCGAAATCTAGCTGATCCCTTAAAACTTTGGATTGTTGCATCCTTGATGTGGTGGGCGAGGTCCTCTGGGCTCAGTGCTTGTTTTGATCCCAACCTTCTCACCGCCTAGGCTCAGTGGTAACAACGATGGCGATGTCGGCTACTTTTCTAAGTCCTTGACATTTATTGTCATTTAATCCTCACAATAGACATTTAAGATAGATATTACGTTTAATACCATTTTGCAGGTGAAGACGTTTAAAGCCCGCTTGTTTAAGTAATTTATTCCAGGCCCCACAGTTGGTAAGCATAAAAGCTGAAACGAGGCAGCAAAGATGTAATTCTTATGAACAGTACACATTTACCGGAGAGAGGTGTTAACAGCATATTTACTAGTGATAAATGTGAGATAAAGGCACATCTGGTTGTGAGATTTAGACTGGACCCGGAAGAAAAATAACAGTTTAGAACACTAGTGTGCGGGTGTGTGTGTTTGTGTGTGTGTGTATATGCAATAGGGGCTTCAGGAGAGGTAGTTTTTGAAGTCTGGTGATCTGGATCGCTTCTTGGCCTTTTGGCTAAGATCAAGTGAAGTCTGGTGATCTGGAAAAGTTTCATGGAAGAAGTTAGACGTGAGCAGAATTTTGATTAAAGGGTAAGACATGTGGAGAAGAGCTCAGCAGGAGAAATCACAAGTGTAAAAGTGGAGGCAGGAATGTGCATGGGATATTCGGGGAACAGTTGAGAGAACCAGCTGTTCCTTAGGGAGTATGGTGGGGATACAAGAGGCCAGATTATGAAAGGCCTTAGACCCCTGATTGTGGAAACTTTTCTGTTGTCAATAGGAATCTTTTGATTCTTTTGAATTCCCAGAAGGGTGATAATATTTACTAATGAGAAATATTATTCCTGTGTCTAACTTCTACCTTGCTTCTACCTTGCTGCTCATTGTATGGATGAGCTGCTAATTGTAGAAGAAGTGATGTTCATAGAATAATGGGAATTTGCTCAGTGCTTTGTGATTAATGTATAGTAAGCATTCTAAGGATACACATTTTTTTTTCATATTAAAATGTAAAATGGTAGATTTACCTAATAGTGTTACCCTTTACAGTATGAAAAAAAATTGGTCCTTTGAATTATTGGACTAATTTTTTATATTGCAGAGAGTGGATCTTTCTTACAATTGCTGCTTGAAGGGAATTATGAGGCCATATTCTTAAATTCATTGACTCAAAATATTTTTAACTCAACAACTATGACTGAAGAAAAGATGGACAGCTACCTGGAGAAGCAGATAGTAACATTCCTGGATTACTCAACAGATTTGGACACAACTGAAAGGTAGAATTTTATTTGAAATTTTCATAGAGAAACAGACTGAATACATTTAATAGTGCTTTGCCAGCCTAAGACAGTGGTTTTAGTCATTGGAAAACTTGGGCTCTCCAGTATGGCAGCCACTAGTCATATGTGGTTGTTGAGCACTTGAAATAGTGCAACTGAGGGACAGAATTTTAAATTTCATTTAATTGTAATTAAATTAAAAGAGCCCTATGTGGGGCGCCTGGGTGGCCCAGTCGTTAAGTGTCTGCCTTCGGCTCAGGTCATGATCCCAGGGTTCCGGGATCGAGCCCCGCATTGGGCTCACTACTCAGTGAGAAGCCTGCCTGTCCCTCTCCCACTCCCCCTGCTTGTGTTCCCTCTCTCTCTGTCACATAAATAAAATCTTAAAATAAATAAATAAATAAAAGAGCCCTATGTGGCTCATGGTTATAATATTGGACATTGAGACATAAATTGTTTAGGTTTCAGAAATTTTATTTTGTACTTGGATGATCTCTATAAATGTTGGTTAATATTTTATATTTTTCTTGGTAAAACTGAAATGAAATTGGTTGTGGTTATACAGTGGTTCATATTTGTTTTTTTATTCTTATATGCAGACAACAGCTGATATTCCTAATTGGTGTAAGCAGTTTGCAACTTTTTGTTCAGAGTAACTGGACGGGGCCTCTCGTTGATTTACAACCTCAGGATTTTTTGCCATCTGTTTTATTCCAGCAATTCAGTGAGGTATACTTCTTGGAAATGTCATATATAGTTATTATTGTGTTTTTTTTTTTTTTCTTTCTTTAGGAACTGGTCTTTATAAACTGGAGTCAATAGTAGGTAGGAAAAAATACGACTTTATATATAGCTTGTACAAAGTGTACTGAGAATCCTTGGTCATCGATCAGATTTTCAAGTATTTCTAGAAGGTCCACTGTCAGGAATGGAATTAGAGATAAGTGTTACTAATCTGATGGTAGAGGGGCTCCTGGCTGGCTCAGTTGGTGGAGTGTGCAACTCTTGATTTTGGGGTTGTGAGCTTGAGCCCCACATTGGCCATAGAGCTTACTTTTTTTTTTTTTTAAGATTTTATTTATTTATTTCGAGAGAGAGAGTGCGAGAGAGAGAGTACAAGCAGGGGGAGTGGCAGGCAGAGGGGGTGGCCGGCAGAGGGAGAAGCAGATTCCCCACCTTGCAAGGAGCCCAGTGTGGGACTCAATTCCAGAACGCCAGGATCACCACCCCAGCCAAGGCAGATGCTTAACCGACTGAGCCACCCAGGTGCCCCAGCATAGAGCTTACTTAAAAAAAATAAATAAAATAGGGGCACCTGGATGGCTCAGTCGGTTGAGAGTCCAACTCTTGGTTTCGGCTCAGGTCCTGTTCTCAGGGTCATGAGATCAAGCCCAGTGTTGGGTTCTTTGCTGAGCATGGAGTCTGCTTGAGATTCTCTCCCTCTGCCTCTGCCCCACCCCTGCTCACGTGCTCTTTCTCTCTCAAATAGATAAATCTTTAAAAAGAAAGAAAGAAATAAAATATATTTAAAACAATCTGATGGTGGGGTGGAAAAAGAAGTAGAAAAGCAGCCATAAACTGACAGCCACAGTAATTAGCTCTGTACACATCAGTGTGGTGAGTCACTGTATCATGTTGCAGTAGAATAATTGAAATTCATAATCCTGGCTCTGAATCATTATCGAAAGTTTAAAAGATCTTCTGTATCTTATGCCTAAGAAGGGAATTGAGTCTGCACTTTACAGAGGTTTTCTTTTTTTTTTTTTTTTAAAGATTTTATTTATTTATTTGAGAGAGAGAATGAGATAGAGAGAGCATGAGAGGGGGGAGGGTCAGAGGGAGAAGCAGACTCCCTGCCGAGCAGGGAGCCCGATGCGGGACTCAATCCTGGGACTCCAGGATCATGACCTGAGCCGAAGGCAGTTGCTTAACCAACTGAGCCACCCAGGAGCCCTTTACAGAGGTTTTCATCCAGAGTGATTAAAGTACTAAAGTAAAGTAAAGTAAAAGTAAAAAATGTCACTTAAAGAGAAATGCTTCAGTTGTCTAGAAATTTGCTTATATGGAACATCTCACTCCCTCTGTTATTGTGGATGAAACAGTTTCTGCCTCTTCAGCCCTGTAGTGTAGGTTAAAAATTCACCAAATAGTCAAAGTCATAGTGTTTGTTGAGCACAGATATGTGGGGCAAGTGCTTAATTCACATGTTCTATCAGTTTGAGGATCCCAGAGACGAGAAGATGGAAGCTCTGGTGGTGAAGGAACCTTGTCAGAGGTCTTACAGCTGGGTGATTGGAAGCCACATTTCCTGGGCCCAAACCCAGCCCTCTTTCAGCTCTGCCAGTGGAGGAGCATCTGTAAAGTCAGGGGACAGTTCAAGGCAGTACAGAAGTAGGTTATGTGAGAGATTTGGACTGTTAAGATTATTGCAGTTAACCAAGAGATGTGGGGAACGGGAATTTGGTCAGACAGTTTAGCTGGGAGTGGACCGTGAGGTGAACTGAAGGGTGCTGAGGAAACGGACAGGTGGAGAGGAGCAGGAACATCTGTCTGGATGCAGTCACGGGAGCGGAAGTTCAGAGTGGGGAAGAGCGCGGTGGGAGCAGGATGTTTTGAGCCTACTGGAGTAGCATTGAAAGGTCACACCTCATGGGATTCAGGCCAGATTGTGGGAAACTTTGAGACCTTGATTTTTTTTTTTTATTAGAACTACCTCATAGATTCAAAAAAAAGCATATGAAGTGTATGCAGTTTAAATAATAAAACCACTTTGCTCCTCCCACACAGCTTGAGAGAGAACATTGGCAGCATTGTAGAGCAGTTTCCTGACCGCAGTTCCCCAGATGTAGAGCCCCTTTGCCTGTGTGGGGTCTGGGCTGGAGCGGGGAGAGCCTTGGAACTGGTCGGCAGCATTTGCTAGTTCCCTGCTTTGCACCACTAATCATAGCATCTCTGCGTGTGCTGTGACTTGGAAAGGGTTGGAAATACTGCCTTAGAAGGTCCCCTGTGTGTGCTTCCTGATGGTGTCCCTGGCCCTCCTCTCCCATGAGCCAGTCCCATGAATTTTGTGTTAATCATTCCATTGCTTTTCTTCATAGTTTCAGCACCTCTGTAACTCTAGAAAACGTATTGTTTAGTTTTGCCAGTTTTTGAACTTTTATAAAATGAAACAAACTGTGCATTCTTCTGTGACTTGCTTTGTTCAATGGTATATTTTTGAAATGATACCATTATTCATTTTTACTGTTGTATAGTATTCCAATTGTATGACTATACTAGAACGTGTATGTTTCTTCTACTCTTGATGGCGATATGGTATATTTCCTTTTTTTTGCCCCCAATGTATTACATACAGTGCTATTAGGAACACATCTTCTGGAAATCATTTGCAAGAATTTCAAAGCACAGCATACTGAAAAAGCAGAGGAGGCTGTTTTTACTGGCCCTCGGGCTGTAGGTGATACCCTGAGGGCTGAGAGGATGATCTTCCCAGAGTTGGGAAGCTCTGCTGTGGTATATATATATCCGTGAGTGGAGTTGCTATGCCCTAGAGTATATACATGTTCAACTCTTCTTGGTAATGTCAGGTTGTTTTTTTTGTTTTTTGTTTTTAAGATTTATCTATTTGTCAGAGAGAGACAGAGCGCACAAGCAGGGGGAGTGGCAGGCAGAGGGAGAAGCAGACTCCCCGCTGAGCAGGGAACCCAACTTGGGGCTCGATCCCAGGACCCTGAGATCGTGACCTGAGCCAAAGGCAGACGCTTAACCGACTGAGCCACCCAGGCGTCCCTGTCAGGTTCTTTTTAAAAGGAATATTCAAGGGTGCCTGGGTGGCTCAGTTGGTTAAGCAGCTGCCTTCGGTTCAAGTCATGATCCTGGAGTCCCGGGATCGAGTCCCACATCAGGCTTCCTGCTCAGCAGGGCGTCTGCTTCTCCCTCTGCCCTCTTCCCTCTTGTGCTGTCTCTCATTCTCTCTCTCTCAAATAAATAAATAAAATCTTTAAAATAAATAAATAAATAAATAAATAAATAAATAAATAAATAAATAAAAAGAATATTCAATTTATACTCGTTACCCGCAGTCTGAGAATTTGGAAGGTAGGAGGAGTTGAAATTTTTAAACACGTCAGTATTTTCTAATTGTCATTTTCCTGTGCTGATTGATGTTTCTTAGTTCTTGTGAAGCATAAATATTTGTGAATATACTTTATGGTCATGGAGTATGGTGACCAAAGCCAAATTCATTTTCCCTGCCTTTAATTTATGGCCTTGTCATTTTAACACTGACATCTGATGCTAACTGGTCTCAGAGGAATAGCACTGAAGGTCCATGTCTGAGCGGTATTGGTCACCTCTCGCACAGAAAGGTTGGTCTTAGTAATCTGGCTTCCAGATGTTGAAATTTTTTTCACTATTATGGTGATAAATACTTATATTTTTACATGTCATATGCTGTCTTGACTGAGGAATTGTTCCGAAGAGTTGTAACCTTTGCTTTGTCTGTTTTGTTTTGTTTTTTAAATACAAGCAGTCCTCTTTAAAAACAGACCATTTCCCCAAACCTCTGGAAGCACATTTAGAACTCAGTTGGAATATCAGTGTTATATCTTGGGGGTAGGCAGAGGCTGACTTACTTAAGCAGAAGATAGAAAAGCATTTCATTTTTTCATGATGATGCAAGGTAGCACTGGGAAGAGAAATGTATGTATTTGGCTATTCATACATTCACACATTTATTTATTGTCTTGTTAATACCATCTCCAGAGAATTCTGTCAGGGTGGCCTGCATTTGTGGGTCCCCAGGGGCATTTATAAGGTTATGATTCTGTCCAGTGCCAATTGCTGTGTAATAGATTGATGCCTTTGTTTCAAAGCTGAATTAACTGGAAAATATGTTACTCCAAGACCTATAAAGATTAATATTTTGTTAAATTAGGTCATCTTGGCTTATATATTTTTTTCAGGTCAAAGGACTAGATGCAGTTGTTCTGAATCTGCTTGTTCTAGATGGTGAATCAGTCTACAGCCTGACCTCAAAGCCTATTCTGCTCTTATTAGCGCGAGCTATTCTAGTGAATGTGAGACATAAACTGACGGCTATTCAGGTAAGGAGAGAAAAGAAGGCAGTTGGTTCATACCCAGGGATGACTTGTGCTGAGTAGCATCAGACTTCAGGTGTGATGCTGACAGTGTTTTGGTGGTTTTCTAAGTCTTTTTTAGGTATTTCACTTTAAAACCTGATGGAAATAAACAAAAACATTCTCCGTTTCTGAGATTCATCTAATACAAAACGATACTATATTGAGCCCCTTTTAAAGGATTATATAGATCGTATGTATGTTCAGTACTCTTACTGTGGATCTTAGTGGGTCTTAATTACTGTTTCCTCGCTCACATCCTACACATTCATTATTCGGGTTGGATTTAGTAGAGCATTTGTGGAATGTCTGTTACATCATTTCTTAAAGATTATTCATTTATTTAGAGAGAAAGTGTGTGCGTGCACGCACACATTTGAGCAGGGGGAGGGGCAGAGGGAGAGGGAGAGAGAATCTCAAGCAGACTCCCCTCTGGGTGTGGAGCTCACTATGGGGCTTGATCTCAGGATGCTGAGATCATGACCTGAGCAGAAATCAAGAGTCTGACCCTTAACAGATTGAACCACCCAGGTGCCCCTGTTACATTGTTTCTTTATAAGTAAAGAATTACATACTTTGCACATGTCACAAAATATTCTTTTGTGTTTTTTTCAGTGGTTTAAAATGTACAAACTGGGGGCATCTTGGTGGCTCAGTCGGTTAAGCATCTGTCTTTAGTCATGATCCCAGAGTCCTGGGATCGAGCCCCACATCGGGCTCCTTGCTCAGTGGGGAGTCTGCTTCTTTCTCTCCCTCTGCTCCTCTCCCTGCTCGTGTTCTCTCTCTCTCACTCTCCCTCTCAAATAAATAAAATCATTTATTATTTATTTATTTTTTAAAGATTTTATTTATTTATTTGACAGAGAGAGACACAGCGAGAGAGGGAACACAAGCAGGGGGAGGGGGAGAGGGAGAAGCAGGCTTCCCGCTGAGCAGGGAGCCCGATGCGGGGCTCGATCCCAGGGCCCTGGGACCATGACCTGAGCCGAAGGTAGATGCTTAACCGACTGAGCCACCCAGGCGCAGCCAAATAAATAAAATCTTCTAAAAAAATGTACAAACTATTGGTTCTTGTACTGTACAAAAACAGGGTAGGGGGATTGGATTTGGCCTGCAGATTATAGCTAGCTGACTTCCGTTCTGATTGTGGCAACTTGACCCATGTTACCAGAAATAATAAATCTAAATTTTATATGAAACCTCCCAATTTCTCAGTATTGGCTGAAAAATTTTGAGAAACACAGTTTTCAATTATCAGAATGTAGACTTGGTCTCTACTGTCTAAGGGCTTATTTTCCCAAGTATTTCAGTTTAGACAAAGAAGAGGTAAGAAGGCAAGTTTTGCCTCTTCCGCTGTCATGAAAGCCAGAGGAATTGGAATCAGTTTTACTAGAAGGGTTTCAATATGTCAGAGTAGACGTAAGGCCTTATCTTTGATTTTTTAGCCATGTTAGCTTGAATTAAAAAATTTTTCCAGAGTTGATCTGAGTGAAATGCTCTCTTACAGAACGACTAGTACTTGGCTCTAAAGCAAGTACTACCAAGGCATAGGGCTGCCGAATGGCATTGTCTTTCTATGAGACTAGAGTCATTAATAAGTGAGTGGGACAGTTTTAAATTTTGTTGGTGGAAAACTTTCATCAGCAATTATGTTAAGCATTATTTTTTAAAGATTTTATTTATTTATTTTAGAGATAGAGTGCACTCGAGCAGGGCGGAGGGAGAGGGACAAGCAAGCTGTGCTCTGGGCACAGAGCCCGAGGCAGGGCTTGATCCTGTGACCCTGATATCATGACCTGAGCCGAAATCAAAAGTCGGACACTTAACCGACTGAGCCACCCTGGCGCTCTGTTAAGCATTTTTTAAAAAAAAGATACATATAGTGTCAACTTAGGAGAACCAGTAGGTATGTGAACTGCTGGTTGTGGATGTCATATGGTAGGGTTGGAGAGACAAGGTACTTGAATTGCTTGGCGGATACTAAACAACTTCTCACCTGGGCTTACAACCCTGTTTTCTTTTACACGTCACCATGCAAAGATCACTTTGTGTTGAAGTCTTGCCTTTCAGTGAAATCACAAAAGTTCTTTTACTTTGGATCTTTAATATGTCATTTTCTAAATAATGATATAAAAATGACTTTTTTTTTTTTTTTAAGATTTTATTTATTTGAGACAGAGCGAATGAGAGACAGAGAGCATGAGAGGGAGGAGGGTCAGAGGGAGAAGCAGACTCCCTTCCGAGCAGGGAGCCCGATGTGGGACTCGATCCCGGGACTCCAGGATCATGACCTGAGCCGAAGGCAGTCGCCCAACCAACTGAGCCACCCAGGCGCCCTTCAGATAGTTTTTTAATGTTTTATCCTGAGTTTATAATTATTAACTGTGGGAGGGCTAGTTTTTGTTTTTTTTTTTTAAGATTTTATTTATTTATTTGAGAGAGTGAGAATGAGAGAGAGTACATGAGAGGGGGGAGGGTCAGAGGGAGAAGCAGGCTCCCCGCTGAGCAGGGAGCCTGATGTGGGACTCGATCCCGGGACTCCAGGATCATGACCTGAGCCAAAGGCAGTCGCTTAACCAACTGAGCCACCCAGGCGCCCTAAAAATGACTTCTTTGATAAGTGAGGATAAAATGAAAGAACTGTCCTCTACCTATCCAAGTTAACTTTAACCTTTTTAAGTTAGCTTTGAATAGGCTTACTTGTGAACAATGTATCAAGTTGTTCATCATGATATTTTTGTGGAACTGTAAAAGTAGATGATTTCCCCCCAATCCTTTAATCTGTGGTATATAGATTAGTATTAGTAAGATGTAAATGTTGAGTAAAAAGAGCCTTGGCTTTGAAATCAGACCAGAGTTTGTCTGGCTCAGCCGTTTAATAGCTGTATGACGTTTGTTATGCTAGTTAATTTCTTTGGAATATCAGTTTCCTTATTTATAATTATTTTTAAAATGGAGGGCGCTTAGCTGGCTCATTTGGTAGATTATGCGACTCTGGATCTCGGGGTTGTGAGTTTAAGCCCTATGTTGGGTGTAGAGATTACTTAAAAATAAAATCTTTAGGGGGGTGGGGGAATGGGTTAGCCCGGTGATGGGTATTAAAGAGGGCACGTTCTGCATGGAGCATTGGGTGTTACACGCAAACAATGAATCATGAAACACTACATCAAAAACTAATGATGTAATGTATGGTGATTAACATAATGTAATAAAAAAATAAATCAAATCTTTGAAAAAATGGAATAAGCTGGCAAAATTTTTTTGGGTGCCTTTTTAGTACACTTACGCTTCTGATGTCTAGGAGGTTATTGACTAGTGTGGCTTTCCAATCAGAACATTCTGTAATAAGTGCCAAAATCAGGAGACAGGATCTAGAAACTAGAGCAAGGCTTCAAGTTTCTTTTTTATTAATGCCTCAGATTTTCTGTTCAGCCATTCTTGGCAAATAGAAAAGGGTACTTTTATTTCCAGTAGAAAAACAGGCTATGCTTTCTCTATTTTTTTCACACTCCTCCTCCCCCTAGGATAAATGTTTTGGCTTAAGAGGTAATGTATAGATCTGATGTTTAAAGATTCAGCATCTGAAGCTATATGTTTTCTTTTTCTTTTTAACGATTTATTTCAGAGAGAGAGCACAAGCAGGGGTGGAAGGGCAGAGAGAGAGGGAGGAAGCAGACTCCCCACTGAGTGGGGAGCCTGATTCGGGGCTCCATCCCACGACCCTGAGATCATGACCTGAGCCGAAATCAAGAGTCAGATGCTTAATTGGCTGAGCCACCCAGGCGCCCCTGATGTATGTTTTCTTTAAAGGGCAATCTCTTTGACTGGCTCTGTCTAAATTCCCATGTCTAGAAAAGGAAAGGGTTTGCTGCCAAACCTGAGTCACTTGTTGCTGGCAGCAGTTATGGATTTTTCTGGGGGAGGAGAATAGCACTGAGGCAGCAGAAGAGAGACTTGCTCTTCACTGTATATGCTTCTGTATGGGCTTATTGCTCTTTTTTTGTTTTTGTTTTTAGATAAGGATCTAGTGTTTGTTTTTTTTTTTTTTAAAGATTTTATTTATTTTTATTTAGAGAGAGAGAGCGCAGGTGAGCAGGAAGAAGAGCAGAGAGAAAGGGAGAGAGAGATTCTTAAGCAGACTCTGCACTGAGCTTGGAGCCCAATGTGGGGCTCCATCTCACAACCCTGTCATGGCCTGAGCCGAAACCAGGAGTTGGATGCTTAACTGACTGAGCCATCCAGGTGTCCCAGGATCAGGTTTTTTATTTTTTTATTTTTTTTAAGATTTTATTTATTTGTGAGAGAGAGAATGAGAGAAAGAGAGCATGAGAGGGAGGAGGGCCAGAGGGAGAAGCAGACTCCCCGCCGAGCAGGGAGCCCGATGCGGGACTCGATCCCGGGACTCCAGGATCATGACCTGAGCCGAAGGCAGTCGCTTAACCAACTGAGCCACCCAGGCACCCTATTTTCTTTTCTTTTCTTTTTTTTTTAAAGATTTTATTTATTTGACAGAGAGAGACACAGTGGGAGAGGGAACACAAGCAGGGAGAGTGGGAGAGGGAGAAGCAGGCTTCCCACGGAGCAGGGAGCCCGATGCGGGGCTCGATCCCAGGACCCTGGGATCATGACCTGAGCCGAAGGCAGACGCTTAACGACTGAGCCACCCAGACGCCCCTTATTTTATTTTCTTAAAGATTTTATATATTTGACAGAGAGCACAAGCAGAGGGAGTGGTAGGCAGAAGGAGAGGGAGAAGCAGCTCCCTGCTGAGCAAGGAATCTGATGGCTTGATCCTAGGACCCTGGGACCATAACCTGACACTTAACTGACTGAGCCACCCAGGGAGCCCCCCCTCTTTTTTTGAATTGTGATCAAGTAAGAACAACACCAGACAATAGAGAAAAACCTACTGTGTTCTCTGCCTGTGCATTAGTCAAGACAATGTATGAAATGCAGTCTGTCCTCAGAAATGTTTGGGCCAGGTGGAGTTAAACTCTTGGAACACAAGAGCTGTCCAGTGTGGTGCTAACTTCTAGGAACATTGTAGAAGTTCAGAGAAGTGAGAGACCAATGTGTGCCGCCCTCTTGGGAGAAGGCTTCATGGGAGGGTTTCACGAGGATGTGGAAGGGATTGTCTTAGTTTTGGAAAATATTTGAATCCACGGTAATTCTTACAGTGTAGTTTGTGCAAAATCTATTGCTTTGAGGAGGATATAGAGATGAGCAGGACATGACTTCTTGTCTTATTGGGTAGATGGTGGACAACACCGAAAGCTAGGGATGACCTCCATGAATGCAGCGGGATGTGTCTGCAAAGGAGGTAGTACAAATAGTATGCTAGAATTTCAGAGGAGGGAAGAAATTACGCTCCCACCCTCCTACCCCCACCACACACTCTGCCTCCTGCGGGAGCGGCTGCGTGGATCATGGCGTTGAGCGGGGTGCCACAGTGGACATTTTAAAGGAGATACTAAGTTCTAAATGGCATCAGGAAGCCCAACTGGCTAAAAATACAGGCCCTGAGAGGATGGAGGAGACGTGTTATTGCGGAAGAGGGAGAAGCGGATTTGGGTATTATTACTGAGGACACAGCAGTGGATGGATAAGTTTGTTGAAGAGTAAGTTTAATTTCACAGATGTTAAAAAAATTCTAAACACTAATTTCAATTAATATAAACATTGTTTTTTAGAGGGGCTTTTATTTTCAGCTTACGTGGTACTTTCTTTCCGTAGAGCTTGCCGTGGTGGACTTTGAGATGTGTGAGTGTTCACCAGCAGATACTGGAGGAGCGCTCCCCGCAGCTCTCTGCTCTTGCTGGAGACTGTATCGAGGAAGGTATGGGACAGATTTTGTTTGATGCAGGCGTGCGGCTCCAGGCTCATTGCTCAGCTGAGACAGTCCTTTTTAGTTTATTATTATTATTTTTTTATAGGTAATAGTAACTTTCTGGTTGAGGTTGTTTCTTTTTTTCCCCTTTTTTTCTGGGTATGGAATATCACAAATTATTGGCATGTCAGATTATAGAATTTCTTTTTGCCTTTGAATTTTAAAAGAGGTAATCATTATCATTTATATTGCCTATTTAGAAAATGATTTGTTCTATGCACGTTACCATGATTTTATCACAGACTGCTTAAAAGTATTTTAGTTTTTCTTTGTTCTTTAATCTCAGAAGCCTCTTTGGAAACTAATGTAAACTTCCTTTATTTAAAAAAAAATTCCTTAACTTTCCTTACTTTCCCTTTTTGAATCATGTTATCTAAGATTAGCATATGTTTATATATTTCTCTTAGAACAAAAAAAATTGAGAAATTAATTTCAACTAAATTACCTAGCTTAGTAATATTTATTACTGCACAAACTAACATCCTCTTAGTGTATTCTGGCCTAGCTTGTTACTACATAGATGTACCCTTAAAGGAAACAGACTCCACGTGGAGTAAATTGTGCCAAATTCATGCAGAGTAGAAAATTACTTACCCGCTATCCTGTTGAGTACATGAAGAAAGCCTTTGTTTTTTTAACATTTGGCAGAAAATACATTTTACTAAGGATGACAATAGGTAGAGAGGCATTTTTACATTTTATATTATTTTTTTATTATATGTAACATATATACACAAAAGTACCTAAAATGTAAATGAAAGAATAAACCACACACCTCTGTCAGTGCCCCCCACTGCCTTTGTTACAGTTGCCCTTCACATTTCCTAGGGAAGCATTTTGAAAAGAGGAAAAATCTTGGGTACCTTGACACTTGGTTTCCCTGGGCTTTTGGAATGATTATTCTTAGCAAAAGTTGCAAAACAAAGCAAAGCAAAAACAAAAACAGATTCCCTTGTAGTGAAGAAGCACTTAAACACAGATAAACTTGGACTTGGTAACGAACTTCAGAGTTACAGAGAAGGGGTTTGACCTTAGGTGTGTCTGATTCCAAAGCCCAAACTCGTTTCACATAGCAAGAGTATGTCTGGTGTGAGTGTGTGTACACTGCTCCCCCTTATGCATGGTTTGGACTTCCATGGTTTAATTACCTGCAGTCATCTGTGGCCTGGAGGCAGATAATCTGCCTTCTGACCTCTTGTCTCAAGGTCATTAGAAGCCTCACGCTACATCACAATGTCTGCATCATTTCCCGCACTGCATCTCATCACATGGGCATTTTATCCCACATCATCACAAGAAGGGTGAGTACAGTACAATAACGTATTTTGAGAGAGAGAAAAAATGTAGTATATACAGGGTTCGGTACTACTGTGGTTTCATGCATCCACTGGGGGTCCTGGGACGTATCCCCCTTGGATAAAGGGGGATGCATGGGGGAAGGGGTCATTTGCATCCCTCGGGGTGGAGGAGCAGTGATCTGTACTTGATGGAGTAGACATTCACGAAGGCATAAAACAACTCAACATGTGTGCATACGTAACTGCAAGAAGCTCCCATACCTTTCTTTAGTCTGTTTCCTTCAAGTTACATCTATGTAGTAACAAGCTGGGCCGGATACACTAGAGAGGACGTTAGTTTGTGCAGTAATAAATACTACTAAGCTAGGTAATTTGGTTGAAATTAATTTCTCAATTTTTTTTTGTTCTAGGGTAGAAATACATAAGCTATGCTAATCTTAGATAAAATGAAAATCTGTACATGATTCAAAAAGGGAAAGTAAGGAAAATATTATTCAATGAGTATAGTAATTGATTCATTTATATTATTTTTTGCCAAGACTTAGACCATTTATATTCTTTTAGGATTTTAGGTAATACAAGACTGTGGAATTAGCAAGGATGTGTTAAATCAGACTTTGCACATATATATATACACACACACACACACATATACATATATTCTGCTACAGAATTGAAACCTGACATATGATAGATTAGTTGTTTTATTACATATAAGGAGTTAACTTTTTCTATACAGTAATGTTTCTAAAGTAACAGAACTGAAAAACAGTCTATCCCTCTTTTCTACAGTAGTAGTCTTTGGTTTAATGCTTTTGGGTTATAAAAGATTTTTATGAGCAAATTTAGCCTACTGAACCATCTTTGTTTTCACTGACTGTAGATTCTCTAGACTGTGAGTTCCTTGTGAGCTGGGGTTTTTGTTTTTTTTTTTAACCTCTTTCCGCTTAGCATAGTGCCTAGAAAATAGTAAGTATTTAGTACATGTTTGTTGAATAACAACAGCTAAGGTTTATTGAGGCCTTTCTACATGTACTTTTAGGGAAGAAGTTTTAGAATTTCCTCTATTTGTCCTTCATCTCAGTAGTAACAACTTGCATCTGACTTAATTTCTGTACAAGAGTGTTTCAAAAAGTGGAATATTATAGCAGAGAGGACAAAATTGATCCTACCTGGATGCCATATGGACTTTGAATCTCTCCTAATAGTGTTGCCTAGGGGTGGAGTTCTCTTCAAAATGAAATACAGAGTGAACCTTGGAGTAAATGACCCGACGCCCCATTTAGCAGACAAGTTGTCCTCTCTCTTTAGTAAAATGAAGCCTATGTAGCCTGAGTCTCCCCCATTCATGCTGTTGCATATTTTTGAAATGATGTGAGAGATGCTTCATAAATGAACTTAGTGCAAAGGAGGAAGAAGAGTGGGGATGAGTTTCTAGTTCCTGAAATTGGGTAAAGTTTTGAAAGTCAAGGATGACTTGGAGGCGCCTGGGTGGCTCAGATGGTTAAGCGGCTGCCTTCGGCTCAGGTCACGATCCCAAGGTCCTGGGATCGAGCCCCTTATCGGGCTCCCTGCTCAGCGGGGAGCCTGCTTCTCCCTCTCCTGCTTACCCTGCTTGTGTTCTCTCTCTCGCTGTGTCTCTCTGTCAAATAAATAAATAAAATCTTTGAAAAAAAAAAAAAGTCAAGGGAGACTTGAACATCACTGATAGTAATGGGGAAAAAAGTTGCCTTTTCCAGAGGATAGTGAAAGCATTTGGAATAAGATGACATCACTATTCAGCCCATGGTTTGATTTTGTAGAAAGGTAATTACATTGTACTGCTTAGGATATTATACAGTTTCCTATGCTTTGTTATACTGTTATGGAAAATTGGTAAGCGAACAAAAAACAAGATGTCACTGGGACTTGTTTTTTCTTTTTATAGGATATCAGATTTGATGCATTTGCTATCAGGAAAGTCACATTTCTTCCCTTAATCCCATATTATATAAATTTGCATTTATGGCTACATTTTTACCACATTTCAGTGGCTAATGATTGTAATTATTAATTATTAAGAAAAGAAAAAAATACCCTTCCTTATATGCCATTTTATTTTTATTTTTATTTTTTTTAAAGATTTTATTTATTTATTCATGAGAGACAGAGAGAGACAGAGGCAGAGGGAGAAGCAGGCTCCCCGCGGAGCAGGGAGCCTGATGTGGGACTCAGTCTCAGGACCCTGGGATCATGACCTGAGCCGAAGGCAGACGCTTAACCGACTGAGCCACCCAGGCGTCCCCCTTATATGCCATTTTAAAAGGGAAAAACAATATGGTGTGTTTTAGAGAGAATTCTATTCTATGGGGTAAAATTAAGTTTCCAAACAGAAAGAGTTAAGTAAGACTGGAAAATATGACTCTTAAGTGATTCATTCCCCAAGTGGTCTTGATTCTTTTTAGCAATGTATTTCAGCATATCATTAGCTTTGCTTACAACTAAGCATTTTTTATGTTGCTGTTCTAGGCTTATCAACAACATTTTCCATTTTATCTAGTCATAAATTGGTCCTTTTTGGCTATGTTTAGGTAGGTCTGCAGATAGTCTTAAACTGCAACATTTCATAAACAATTTTATTTAAAAAAAAAAGTTTGGTTCTGGGATTTCACCCAAATGTTGACCAAGCAGTCAGTTATAACTGAAATACTGCTCAGTGTCCAGAGAAGGATATTATATTTGAAATGTTGCCCTTGAAGGATCATGAAAAGTTGGCAGGATTTTTTTTCAGTCCATGAAACAAAAGTGAGGATTTCATGGACAACTGTGATCTTTATCTTTTTGTCCAGGAATGTGACATCAGTACAATGTAATGGAATAGAACCCATCGGAATGTCAGCATAACTTTGCTGGACTGATCACATCTATGAAAGGAGTAAGTTAGAGTCTTGCAAAGTTTGCTCCTCAGTGTGATTGAGGCACTCTTTTGGATGTCACACCAGTGAAACCACGATTCTCTAAAAGACTGCTTAGGTGTACACACAGCCATTTATTGTGGGAGCCGATACTGAAAATGCATTCCGTATAGTGCATGAGATGTAATATTGCAGTGTAGCTGTTTGATGATGAGCTTATGAAGTCTAAGGGAAAACGGGTTGAAATGCTTTGTCCAAGAGTTCTGCTGTGACATCTCCAGGCAACTCTGTGACTCTAGGGTTAGATTGTTTCCACATCAAAAGAGCTGATCGAGAGATTAGTCTCTAGGTGACTGATGAGTGCACTGATTTTTTTTTTTTTTTAAAGATTTTATTTATTTATTTGAAGAGAGACACACAGCGAGAGAGGGAACACAAGCAGGGGGAGTGGGAGAGGGAGAAGCAGGCTTCCCGTGGAGCAGGGAGCCCGATGAGGGGCTCGATCCCAGGACCCCGGGATCAAGACCCGAGCCGAAGGCAGACGCTTAACGACTGAGCCACCCAGGCGCCCCGCACTGATTTTTTTTTTTTAAAAATTGATACTTTGGGGGCGCCTGGGTGGCTCAGTTGGTTAAGCGACTGCCTTCGGCTCAGGTCATGATCCTGGAGTCCTGGGATCGAGTCCCGCATCGGGCTCCCTGCTCAGCAGGGAGTCTGCTTCGTCCTCTGACCCTCCCCCCTCTCATGTTCTCTCTAT